GGAAGAACTACTCACAGATCCTAGGCCATTTTTCAAAAGCTCATGGAGATACTTAAATTCAGCAGTGCAATTGCTTTTTCTTCCATTTTGATCAAAATAAGAATGCAAGTAGGTGTGTTATAAACCTCCACTAAGTGAGTGGGCTAGAGGAATACTGTAAAGACCAGGAAAAGGAGCTGAAGAATCTTAAGTGGGAAGTGCTGGGCAGGTCCTCCAACAGCAAAAAAGGAGGAGTGTGTGTTGGCATACTTTCCATAACATATGGCTCATCCTCCTCTTTAGGTGTGAAGGCAAAGGAACATATTGGACTTCACTGTTTGAGATGGAGCTTGCTTCAGATAGTGGGATGAGGTGATTTGCCAACTCCTGGAGTGGATTCCTTGGCAAGCCACTTCAGAGGAAAGGTGTCCCAAAATCAGATTGGAGTTGTCTAAGGACAGTAAATCTCTTGCAGTGGACAGCTACTACTGCTGTCTTGGCTAGATTGACCCAATCACCTAACATTTTTAGTCTTGCTAGTTATATGAAGCTGGCCCCTAAGATTTTTCTCCTGAGTGAACAAGCCAGCACATGTGAAGTGATGTTCTGATTAGAGAAAAATAACTTCAAGGAGAGTTCCAGGCAACTGCCTTGCAGGCAGGAGAAGTGGGGGAGGCAGTTATAATAATAGCTGGGGATCTGTGGGTGGGTGGAGCATGATGTGGCTGGCTCCAGATGGGTCTATCAAACCAGTTTTGGACTATGCAGCAAGTATAGCTTTTCAGATTTCACTGGCATTGAAGACCAAAAGCCTAGTCAGTCCATAAACACAGGGCATTTTGACATAACTCCTTAAGGCCATAGAGGCTGTCTTTATATAAAACTCATATTAATGTTATTTTTGTTTTGCTATTGTTGGTGTTCTTATCATATTTTGCAAAGGCCGGCATTTAGTCATGGAATCCTGAACCCCTAGCCAACCCCACCTCCACCCCCAGCAGAACAGGTTGCTGTTCTACCTGTTGCAGTCTTTCTTTCTTTCTTTCTTTCTTTCTTTCTTTCTTTCTTTCTTTCTTTCTTTCTTTCTTTCTTTCTTTCTTTCTTTCTTTCTTTCTTCCTTCCTTCCTTCCTTCCTTCCTTCCTTCCTTCCTTCCTTCCTTCCTTCTTTTTTCCCCACGAAGAGTGTATGTTTGTTTTCCTTATGTTTTTAATCTCCAGATCAAGACTGGAAACCTGAAATTTGCAACAATTGGAACAAATTTCTGAATTCAACTGAATGTAATTGGGTCCATTCATGCACCCATTTCACAATCATGTTTCATTGACTTTCACAATTCTTTCTTCAGTATGAGCATGTGTGGGATTGTCCTGGAAGAGAACTTGCTGTGGCACATCCTTCCCAAAGAGTCATGGAAACCTTAAAATGACACACCAGTTAAGATAACAGATGGGAAGTGCATTGTCTACATCAAGAACAGAAGAGAAGGAATAAGTGCCTGAGTCTACAGACACAACTAATCCAAAGTAAATTATTCCTTTTCTGTTATAAGAGAATAACAGAGTTGGAAGGGACCTTGGAGGTCTTCTAGTCAAGTGCAACTCCTGGCTCAAACAGGAGATACTATACCAATGATGGCGAACCTTTTAGAGGTCGAGTGCCCAAACCACAACCCAAAACCCATTTATTTATTGCAAAGTGCCAGGGCATTGTGGTGCCCTCAGGGGGGGCATCGGGGTGTGGCCCACTGGGTGGGCATGGCTGGGGTGGGCATGGCCACCTCGATGCTTCTCATGGGGGGATGCCTGTGGGGGCCGGGCAGGGTTGGGGGAGATCCAGTGGGTCTCTGGTGGGTTGGGCGGTGGGCAGGAGGCCCAACATAGATGGAGGGAGGCATGCAATCCTAGCTGGGACTGGGGGGCCATGGCACCGATGGGGATCCGGCTTTCCGTGCTCGGGGTGGCCTTTGGCTTGCTGGGTGTGGGCATGCTCTACCACCTCTACTCCAGCTCGCTAGCTGGATGCTTCGCCTCCTTTGTGCTGGGTGGGGCTGCCGCCACGGACGGCAGCGGCAGCCTAATGGACCTGCGCAAGCTACTGGCAGCGGAAGCACGTGTGCCCACAGAGAGGGCTCCAAGTGCCGCCTCTGGCACACGTGCCATAGGTTCGCCACCCCTGTACTATACCATTTCAGATCAGTGGTTGTCCAATCTCTTCTTAAGAATTTCCAGTGATGGAGCACCCACAATTTTTGAAGACAAGCTTCTTCACTGATCAACTGTTCCAAAGCCAAAGTAAAATAAGGTGACCAAAGTCAAGAATAATTCTATAATGTTATAATTCCAACTGCATTTGATTCCCATGCAAACTGCATAGGGTCCCTATATAAGCCTTGCATAACCACAAAAAACCTCTCCTCATTGTGCACCCAAAAATCAGCAATGCCATTTTATGAAACATTATAGATTCTCTGACTGTTTTATAAATTGTAACACCTGTAGGTCAGTACTACTGGAGATATTTGGGAGCATCCTTAGGTCCTTAAACCAAATACACCTGAATCATATAGAAGCTGTGAAGCACCTTTTTGTCTTTGAAACCAAGTCACTGCTTTTGATGATCATGATGATGATCACGAGCACATCTTTTCCCCATCCTTCCTCTGTTAGGTCTAGACTCCACCACAATGTGAATACAGCTGTTGGATAAACTGAAAACCTTGCCCATTGAAAGTTTGCCCATCCCCATCAAAGAAGGAACTTTGTTATGCTGCTGAGGCATCATCACACATTAAGTGACCAAACACAAAACAAGATCTATACATAAAGCTAGTGCAGTTTTGTGAAAAAATGACAATTAACTACACTAAGTGGGTTGAAGCAAAGCAAAGAATGTAAGTTGGAACATATTGAACTAGCATTGTGAGTTGCACATGAGCAAAAGGAAAGGCTGGGACAAGATGTAGGAATGTAACCAGATGAATTTCCATTCAAAGCATAGATGGGCAAACTGGGTCTAGAGCAGGGGTAGTCAATCTTGGCTCTTTTATGACTCGTGGACTTCAACTCCCAGAATTCCTGAGCCAGCTATTGTGAGAATATGAAGAAGAAACATTGTGATCAGATATTCGGTGGACAGGTACTAACTACCAGACAGAACAACAATCCTTGTTGCCTGACAAAGGTGCTTTTTTCAGGAGGCAACTGGACTTTCTTGTGTTTCTTTTGAAGACATTTTGCTTCTCATCCAAGAAGCTTCTTCAAGTCTGACTAGATGGTGGGGAATGGAAGTGAATCAGTAGATTCTGTGAATTTAGACATCCCCCATCTGCACTGTCAGCCAGATGCTCTGTGGATATCTGCCCAAAGGTGCAAAATATCCAATTATTTTCATCTCCCTTTTTACAATATTTTATGGAAAATGGAGAAAGGACCCAGAAAACAAATGGACTTTTGCACCTGGTGCAGAACTGTGTTCATACGTTCAATAAATATATGCTTAGGCTAAAAGGAAATTGAATAATTGTTTTCAAATTTCTGAAGGGTTGACACGCAGAAGGTGGAGCAAGGTTTTCTAATCAGCAGTAAGCAGATTTCAGCCAAATGGTTGGAGAAAGCTTTCTCCCGGTGAAAGTTCAATAGGAAAACTTTCTACAGCATGGATTTCTGTTAACAATGAATTGATTTGATTTAAAAAGCTGTTATGTGAGAATGTTAAAAATCTCTAGGACACAATACATATTTTGTTTTGTAGCAGTTAAGATGCTGGACTTTGGGGAAACCCGGGTTCAAGGCTCCATTCAATCATAGAGCTCACTGACTGACTTTGAGACAGTCACTCTCTCACCCCTTACCACCCTCACCATCCCCAAGCTGTGGTTTGCTGAAATGTTTGTTGATATTTGTATTAATTTGGGTGTGCTTTTACTTTTGTTGGTAGTAATTTTGGACAAAGGAGCAAGGAAGAAGATATGAATAGTTTGTCAGATTTTAAAACTTGTTTAATTTGTAATATAGATTTCCAGTATTCGGGGCAGCAGTTAATTTTTATTTCATGTATACACACATAGACTTTTGTTGGGTATGATTAAGAAAGCACAATTTTAAAAACGTCCACTGTAGGTGTTTGGCAAACTTTTAAAAACAGATCTATTTTAAAAAGCTGATAGAACAGAATAAGATGGGATAGGTTTTATTTGTTTGCTAGTTCTGCTAGTTTTAAAGATCTTTCTCAGGCAGCGTCTTCCTCATGGCCCTTGCCTCTCATGTTACATGGTGCTGGTTCTTCAGGATTGCTGGTGAATGCCAGAACAGAAATCTTTTCTTAACCCTCTTTAAAGTTAAAGAAAGGTTGCTGCCCTAAATCTCTGGCTGAATCTCTGTATTCATTGATGGATCCAAAGTCTAATGACGAAGATGAGAAAGACCACCAGCACACAAATTAGCAAAGCAGCAACAGCAGTAACAGCTACAACGATAGCCAAATAGGATTCTGAAAACCAGATAGGAAGACAATTAGAAAAGGAGAATGAAACATCACAACGCTATTATCAAAATATTTAGATATTTTAGGGGGGGGTGAACTTTGCAAAGAAAATTCAGTGTATCATTCAACTGCATAAATGTTATTCCAGAAGGCTAAAAGTACTACGTATTTTCCAAATCAAACTAAACATGAATAAGCAAAGTTGTACTTCACATGAGACAAAGAACCAAGTTGCTTCATATTTTCTAAACAGAATATTACATTAATATGATCTGAAACTGGCTCTGAAGAGAATATGACATCCGAAGGTATAAGTATCTATTATTTGATTATACCCCACCACAGATTACAGTTATATTGTAAGCTGAAAATAAACTCAACTTACAGAAATAGCAGTCAGATGGGATATTGCATTTTACATATATTCACACAAAAATTCAGAACCATTTTTTCAGTCATTGAATTAGTACATCTTGAACTCATGAATTTTTCAGACCTCTTACATTTCAAAAAATAATATTTCAGTATATTAGCACTGATTATAACAACAATTATTTATTCATTTTAGACTGAATTTATAACTCAACAGCAAAAGAAAACTTTACATAAAGACAATCCTACACTAAATCTGGGGTGATTGCAATGACTGCAGTCTCACATGTTTCAGTCGGACAGTCCTTAGGTGGTTAAGCAAAGATTTTGGGAAAATAAGTGGGTTGATAAAATGTGGGTCTGCCAATAATCTGGAGATATGAGAAGTCACAAAAAGATAGCTTCAGTTTTACAAGGAGAAAAATATGATATGCTTTATTCACGACACAATTTTCTTTTCTCCCTCAAGGAAAGTTTCACTTAAAATTGTAGCTTCCTGATTCTCTTGATAGAATGCTAAATACTGTATAGGCTTGGTGACATTAATTGAAAGGATATATACAGTAGAAATATTATGAAATAGTAAATAAAGGCACTATGGTTCATCTTGCGACATGGAAGATAAATCAACATGTTGCCTTTATTAGCTGAAGAAATGTATTAGCTGAAGAACAGGGTAGGAAAAATTAGTCCTTATTTGAAAAATGTTGATGAAACATAATTAATTAAAGTAACTTTAACTAAGCATAACTAAACAAGCAGGAACTGATATGAGGAGGAGGTCTAGAATAGTATGTTTCATAGCTGGATGACAACGTCAACATTATGATGTGGTCTCTTTTCATATTATATAATAAAGAAAACTTTCTGAGCATGTATAGAGTTCTTTTCTCTCATACCTGAGCATTCACATGCTTTTCCTGCATACTTATAATAAAGTCTTCTATTATACATGTGGGTGAGAGAGAGACTTTTGGGCAGATCCTGGTTTAAAATCTCAGCATTTTGGTTTTAAACACTAATCAGCCTTACCTTGATGGCATTCTGAGATCTATCATAGAATCATGGGGCTGGAAGAGACTTTGGAGGTCTTCTAGTCCAATCCCTTGACCTAGACAGGGGTCCTTATTCCACCCCTGGTTGTTCAATCTTTTCTTGAAAATCTCCAGAGATGAAGCACCCACAACTTATCCAAACATTGTAGAAAAAATGCCCTTGGCAGTCATAAAGCTTACAGTTCTGATGTTGTAATTTTTTTTCTCCCCCAGACCACTGTCCATGTTTTATCCTCACTTGGGACCTAGGGCCAAGTGGCACACAACAGGAACAGCAGTCTTCTCCCATTTTTGTCTGACTGGGGACAAAAAATTGAGCATATGGCATCTGACATGTGAAGCTCACTTAACATTTCCTAATGAATAAGAACTGCTACTCTGATCCTAAACATGCATACTATTATGTATGCATTCCTTTTTTTTAAAATGGAGAAAGGATTAATGCAGTTTAAAAGAAAAAATACAATAGTAAATGTCCATCCCCCCTCTCTCCCTCTCCCTCTCTTTCTCTTTCCTCTCTCTCTCTTTCTCTTTCTTTCTCTTTCCTCTCCCCTCCCTCTCCCTCTCTCTCTTTCTTCTCTCTCTCTTTCTTTCTCTTTCTCTCCCTCTCCCTCTCTCTTTCTCTCTCTCTTTCCTCTCCCTCTCCCTCCCTCCCTCCCTCTCTTTCTTCTCCCTCTCTCTTTCTCTCTCCTCTCTCTCTCTTTCTCTCTCTTTCCTCTCTCCCTCTTCCCCTCTCTCTTTCTCTCTCTCTTTCCTCTCCCCCCTCTCTCTTTCTTTCTCTCTTTCTCTCTTTCCGTTCCCCCCCTCTCTCTGTTTACCATTTATAGGTTTTTATAATAATAAGAATGGGGAAAGCACAGTTTGATCATCCCCAGAGAGTGGGAGCTGTTGCTGCAATGAGACAAAGGTCTGAGGTGTCTCTTTAGTAAAGGTTCTGGGCTTGCAAACTTACCAGCAGTCTTGAGTGAAACTTCTGAGGATTTGGTTCGATAGACTGGTTCATGTAGGCCGAAATGCACTGCTGCATGACAATAAGCTTCCTGACCGTGGTCCTCTGGATGGAGGGTGACCGGGAGAGTGACTGTATAGTTTTCTATTTCAACCCAAGTACAGTTTGTGAAACTTGGTGTACCCAACCTCTTTGACCCTTTAAAAAAGGTCACCACAAGAGTCAGGCAGGGATCTACTCTTATTATGTGACATATCAGGTTATAGGCCCAGTTTTGGCCTGGCGATGGCTTCTGGAGTTCCAGGGTCATTACCTCGAGAGGTCCTGCAATGGCATATGTGGCCAAAAAGAGATAATGTTAACCGGGCTGAATGGCTGAGTTTCTTCTCTGAGAGAGATGGAATATTTCTCTTCCTTGCTATCCTGCCAAGAGCTGGATGGGTTCAGGTTCTCCAAGGGTTCCTTCACAACTCCCCATTGACCTCTTCAAGGAGAAAGACATCCCCTCTCTGCCAAATTTGGAGATTGCTACCACCACCCATTAGAAATCTTAAAAACTTAATTTCTTTCATTGTTCTTTCCACTTCAGGATCTGGGTTCGGACTCCAGTCAATCAAGGAGTCAGGGCTATGGATCACAGATAAACAGACTGATCTGTGTATGGAAAACGTCTCTTTAAAGATCTTTGCAGTAGCCCCTAAATTCCGAATTACAGCATACACTGTAATAGTTCAAAGGCAGACAGTTTTATAAGTCTTAGCATTTTATATGATGCCTGATAGGCTTCTTCTTCTGGGATATTCAGGTATCTAACAAAAGAACATACTGAATGTACTTGGTTATATTAGTTAATCTAAACAAAATTAAGAAATGATTACTATTTTACCTTTGTGGATCTCTCTACCGTAGCAGGTAAGTATTGATGCTTCAGAACCAATTTTGTGATAGTATTTCTTAACCCACTATTTTGTAAAGGCTTATAAGACAACATTTTGTCCTGAAAGGTATAACTAGTGAGGTTTCCCTTGAAACTCTACACTGAAATGGATATTAAATGCCCAACAATTTGTAATCTTCATTTCTAATCTTATTCAAGGAACAATAAATCATCCTTAATTGGGCAGCAGAGTGTTTTGAGACTGAAACTGTTTTGAAAACCTACTTTCACACCTCAATCACTGCCCTGCTCCTTTTTTAAGTAGCAACATCTTTGATGAATCACCCTTCTAGAACATCTTTTTTGCGAGTTTTCCCCCCCACCAAAGCCTATAAATATGTTAATCCTTTATTGTATTTCAACGACACACTGAACTTCAAGCTAGCCAACCTATTTATACTTTAGTGTGTCATGTGTAAACCCAGCACTTATAGTTAGTTTTTGCTTCGGGGTGTCAAAATTAAGTTAACTGTTTGTAAACATGGCCTCTGTATAAAACATGATGCTCTTTTTCCAGTTGTATTTCTTCGTACAGCATGCTTAAAATGCTGGGTTAGAGGCAGCAAGACCTAAATTCTATTCCACAGCTGGCCTTGGAAGCTTTCTGGTTGACTTTGGACCAGTCACCTTCTCTCAGCCCAACCTACTCAAGAGTTGTTATGGGAAAAACTAGGAAGAGCACTATGCCTCTTTAATGAAAGGCAAGATATAAATGAATGAATACTAATGAATGAATACTAATATAAGAGGATATAAGAATTGTCCTTTCTCATCTCTCTTTAGAGCATGTACAGAAGATATTGTAGTGTTTTCGGAGATTCTAGTCCTCCATCCTAAGCTAGAAGAGAAGAGCTACTCCAGACAGGCTGCCAAGGTCTGTGTGTCTCTTGGGGGGGGGATGCTGATTTAAAAGTCTGTTTTCATCTTTTGGCAGGACATAAATAAAAGGCCAAGAAGAAGAAGATGTTTCTTTCTGCACTGGACAAGCTGGATGGTCGACTCAAGAGACTATAAATCAACTGCCAGCTTTCTCCTCTTGCTACTCATTCTTCTTCCTTTCTCCTGACTCTTATGGACGTTCAAGACAATAGTCAACAACATATGGCCATACTAAAATATATGTTCTGCACACCCTTGAGTGCAACAGAAAAGTAGTATCATGGATTACACTGATACAGATCAACAAGGTCAGGAAGAATTGCTGTCCTTATAGATTCAGTGCAGGAATCTTTAAGGAGAGTGAGCAGTGGTTTCTCCAACTTTCCTTTCTTTGTGCAGTCAAAATCACCTACCAGAAGGAGAAATCACCACAATCACTTTCCTGAACACATGGTGGAGAAGGAGTGGGAGACTTCTGGCACTCTCTTCCAAAAATCCAGATGTTGCTGGGTTTGCCATTGAACTATCAGTCTCTTTCAATAGCCCTGTGGCAGTGTGGAAGGGAGAAGTGAAATTGGGTGCTTTAATTAATCTCTAATTCCAGTCTAATTGTACCATGTTTTTTTTTTAAAAAAACTGGTGAAACATTTGCATTGAAGCAATACCTTATTAAAGGGTTTGTGAATTACTGCTATTTACTGCATTGGATGTGGAGATGGTCCTTCCTTCCTTCCTTCCTTCCTTCCTTCCTTCCTTCCTTCCTTCCTTCCTTCCTTTTTTCCAGCTGACTCTTCACTTCCCACAGCACTAGTTTTTGAAAGATATTTCAATCAGTGCCCTGATTATGCCTTGAAATTGGGGCTGTGATGACATCTTTTCTTTTGTTACAATTTTTGTTTAGACCTTTGACTGCTGCAGTTGTCTTCATAGCAGAGGAGATTTGAGACCCCAGGGTTGCTTATCCCCTCCAGTTCCAGTTCCATCTCATATTTTCCCCCCCTAGTCTTGCATGACTTATCTACTGCTATTCTGGAGGGTGGTCCCTATAGGACATTTACATGGCCCAAGTCTCAGGAAAGGCAAATTGGAAAGACCTGCTTTAAAGGAAGTGAATGGGAGCTCATCCAAATCTATGCAAAGAAAATCAAAATAGTGGGATCAGATTAAAAAGGTGGGTGAACTTTTTTCTCCACCCCCACCCCCACCCCATGGGGGGTTTATTATACTCTGTAACCACAGGGTGAATTATGTTTAAATCAGAACTGGGGCAATGGATGGGATCTCACCAAAAGTCCATAATGATATGCCATGGGAGGTGTTTTTCAGGAGTGGTTCTGTTGGTCTCAGATCCAGGGATGTTTGGCAGGTAACTGTCTTGCTGTAGTCATCTTCCTGAGCTATTATGCTATGGTTCACCACAACAGTACCAGCTTCAGGGTGAGTATAATTCTCAAAGGTCTTTACCAGAAGTTGCTCTTCCCCTTTCAGCAAGGTCACAGTGAGGTTCCGAATGGGGGCTACACCAAAAACCTGGCATGTTAAGTTATACAGCTTGCCCACCTCCATTTCTGGTACTGGATACAGCTCAATCTTCTTTGGAGGTTCTGTAATAGAATAAGACATAGCCAAAACATCTTCAACGTTTAGAGGAGAGGTGACGATGAGTAAAACCATGGCTTTTCTGGACTTAATTCCATTGCAGTTCAGGACATTTCCCCCCCCCCCCAAAGCACATTTGGGATAGAATATATGTCTATATTCGGCCATCTGCCCTTTTCTATAACCCACTAAAGGCTTCCTTCTCCCACTTGAAAAAGATAATGGATCTCCCTGAGTTCAAGGAGGGAGGGAAGAGGCTGGGGAGAATGCCGACTGTGGGAAATAATTTCTCAGCAGATGTAAACTTGAGAGAAATTGGGATGAAGCATTGATGGTTACATTCTTTAAAAACAATTTGCAAAATCGTGAAAGTGGCCAGCCCTATTCTGCTAATCACAGAAAGGGGGTTGGTTTACTTCATTAGCTAATATATACAGTTGTAGGATTTGTCTGCGCTCTCCTCTCATTCCTTCTTAAGGAGGAAGGAAGACAGATACGAGAAGAGCATCCAGCAGTGATTGCCAACATTTTCCTTCTAGCCCATGCTGCTTGCTGCTGTTGCTGCAGAACATCCTCCTCCTGCTGCTCCTTCCCTCTCTCACTTGCTCCTTCTTCTTCCCACACTGCTCTTCCACCATGGTGCCCTACATTTGGTCATCATGTCTGAAGTGCAAAAATTTGCATAACCTCTAATTAAACAAAAAACTACTGGAAACTCCCATTCTTTGCAGTCATCTAGGGATCATCTGGATTCTTGCAAACCAGTTCTGATAGCCCTACTCCAGTGATGGCGAACCTTTTTGAGACCGAGTGCCCAAACTGCAACCCAAAACCCACTTATGCATCGTCGGGTGCCGGGTAGGTATGGCCCAGTGGGTGGGTGTGGCCAATTGGGTGGGCATGGCTGCGGTGGTAACAGCAGATTGGGTGGGACTAAAAAGTTCAATCAATCAATTCCAACTTTGCAAAATCTTTTTTTTTCCCATAAGAAATTGAAATTGACTGATTGATTGAACCGTTGTTTTTTTTGTACACAGCAGCGGAGGCCTAAAGCGAAAAGGTTTTATAAAACCCAGCTGAAGGCCTAGGACTGGGGTGACGGCGCACATGCCCACAAAGAGGGCTCTGAGTGCTGCCTCTGGCACCCGTGCCATAGGTTCGCCACCACTGCCCTACTCTATGCACTCAGCTTAGCTAAAGGCATCTGCCAAGGAATTGGGAGCAAAGGGAAAACCCAGTGTCATGGTGTATGGGAATGAGTTTGGGAGATAGGGTAAAGAGACAAAGTCAAGGGGATGATCAGATAAGTGGCAACGTAGCCCTCAGCAGAAATACTGACAGGGCAAGTGGCTCAGAAGAGACTTTCCCTAGTTTCTTGGGCTGTAAAGAAGATCGGGAGTGGGGGACAGAGAGATACTTTCAGACTTGAAAAATTCTGTTAACTGCAATCTTACAATAAAGTAGAATCAGCTCATCTGGCCATATTTCCTGTCTGGTTCACCGTGCAAGACTGTTGCCCAGTGGCTGCTGGCCCTGTGCTTGTGGGACTCAAGTGGTTGCCCCTATTCCAGCATTTTTTTAATGCAGACTTGCATGGAGGTATGTTTGTGTAAAATTGACAGTTAAGCCTAGAGAGACGTAGGATAGAAGTGTTTTCTTTTTACCTATATACTGCTTGAGGGAACCCTCTCAAACTTTTCTTCTATGTGCCCAGACATGATTGAAAAGGTTTCAGAGGGAGGCTCTTCACTGGCTGAGATATCATAAGTGTGAAATTGTTAACACTTTCCCTAACCTAAGGCAGAAACAAAGGTACACCAAGTTCTATTGTTTCATTTTACTGGGATGCTTTGGGGATATTTTAGTATACAATTTTTATTGTGATTAGAGTGAGCACTAGATATTCTAAATGTCAGATAACCACTGCCTACTAGATTAGACTCCAATAGCCAAGCATTGCTTTTGAAACAAATGCTTGACATTACATTAGAACTTCGAATGACTTTTCTCCATCAATGGGATGTCAGCAGCAAGGAAGTTTAATAAATCTGTTTGTTTTCAAACAGGAATTCCCACAGGCTTCAATTTCTTTGACTTTATCTTTAATTTCCCTCATCAGCAAAGCTTTCAGATCAGTTTTATCATAAAAAAATCTGTTGAAAAATAAAAGCCACCAAATCAAGCATGAGAAAACAGTACAAGTCTATCCAATGCCCAAAGCAAATTTAAAGGAGATTATAAAGGCCTAGTTGCATAAAAACCTTTTCAACTGATGTCGGAAGGAGAAATGGGACAAGGCATAGTTTTTCCAAGGGGAAAAAAAATCTAAAACTTTGCTGGAATTGTGAGGGAGAAAATTCCTACTAGATGCCTGGGGACTTCTTTTGGACATTATAAATCTTCCTCTATATCTGGCAGATTTGTACCCTCAGGTTTGACTTTTGGCTCCCTGAGCCCCCATTTTCTTTTCTGATCTTGTTGAAGTTGAGCGCCTGGTCTCAAAGAAGAAAGCCTTCATCCCTTTCTTCCACCAAACTGCAGTAAGGCTTCTTCACAGTGGGCATCGTTCAAAATGATAGACTTTCCTAGCAAATTTGACTTACGGTAAACTGTGACAATCGTTTCCCAAGACCTGGGTTCATTATTACAGGTGACAACACATGATGCACGGAGTGACCAGTAATCGACAATGAAAGTGAAAGCTTTCCAGGTGGGCCCGGCGTTTCTATAATCATATTTCTGAGAGGACCTCTCCTGAATATCACAGCTACTGTTGCTGCTGCTGCTTGTGCAATTTAGCACAAAGAAGCCTCCAAATTTCACCGCTTTTCTCAAGGGCACTGCTGGGTCTTTCTGCTGAGCCCCTGAAAACCCAAGAAAAACACACGTGTCAAGAACAGGAATTAACTTGCAGCTGTTAAAATGAATGTTCTACCAAAGTTTCTCTTTTTGTTTCAAATGATACCTATTTTGAAAAAATATGCCAATTTGGAGGAATGGCAGAAGGGTATTAACAGATTTATTTGGGGGGGGGGAACCAAGAGTTAAATTGAAGATTTTACAAGATGTACGGAAAAGAAGAGGACTTAAGTCACCTAATTTGAAATTATATTATTATGCGGTGGTTTTAACATTGGTTACCGATTGGCTTAATTTAACTAATAAAAGTATACTTCAACTAGAGGGATGGGATTTATTATACGGATGGCATGCATATTTAATTTATAATAAAAAAGTGGATAATGCTTTTAAATCTCATATTTTAAGAAGTGCTCTATTGCGTGTCTGGAAAAAGTATTATTACAAGTTAAATTATAAAATACCAATTTGGGGTATTCCTGGACACGTGATAGAGGGAGTATCTAAGGGTGTGAACTTGGATAGGATCTCTTATAAGGAATTACTTAGATTGGAGGGGAATGATTGGCAATTAAAATCGCTAGAGGAGTTAAAGCAAGAAAATGTTGTACAATCTTGGTTTCAGTATACCCAATTGATGGCCAGGTGGAAATTAGATCAAAAGATTGGTTTTACATTATTGGATGAGAATTTGATTAAACAGATTAAAGATTCAAATCAAGCGCATATAAAGAGGATTTATAATGTTTTAATAGAAATGGACTTGGAAACGGAATTAGTTAAAGATTGTATGGTAAAATGGAATCAAAATATTCAAGAACCGATTCCATTGGATATGTGGGAGATAATATGGGTCAGAAATGTAAAGTTTACCCAGGCCCAGAACTTAAGAGAAAATTTTTATAAAATGTTTTATAGATGGCATCTGGATCCTAAAAAGTTGTCTTGTATGTATCCTAGTTTACAGCCTAAATGTTGGAGATGCAGTAGTTTAGATGCTACTTATTTCCATATCTGGTGGACTTGTAGAAATATGAAAGCTTTCTGGATTAAGATTTGGTGGAACATTCAAAAGATTTTTAAGAAAAAGATAAAGTTCACTCCACAATTATTTTTGTTGGGTGTTATTACAGATTGTGAAACTAAAGAAACTAATTTGATGTTGAATTTGATAACAGCTGCAAGATTATTAGTAGGGAAATATTGGAAGAAGGACTGCTTGCCTACTATAGAAGAATGGACGCTTAAAGTGTCAAATTTAGCAGAAATGGCCAAGATTTCTGCTTATTTGAAGGATCAATCACAAGAAAGATACACTTCAGTCTGGAGAAGATGGATAGATTATATTCAGAATAAATATGGGACTAAAAAGTTCCATTTGGCTTATGAGTAAATTTTAGATTATTATTATTATTATATTATTATTATTATTATTTTAGTATTAGTACTGTATTGTTTAACAATTAGGTTGTTAATTTGTTTATTATCGTGTTTAATTTTAATTTGTTTAAATTTATGTTAAAAGGGAGTTAAAGCGCGTTATGGACTTGGTTATTTAAATAGTTGGTTAATGTTGGTTAGATTATGATTATTATATTTGTAACCCTGTGTTCAGCTCTGGGAAGTGGGGGAGAGGGAGGGGGGTTTTGGGGTGGGTATGGGGGTTTATATTGTAATTTTTATAAAACTTTTAATAAAAAAAAGAAAAAAGAACAGGAATTAAGAAAATAGTGTCATTTCGTCCTGATTTTGTCCAAAGTGTTTAAATATTTCATGCAGTCAGCTGAGATCTTGCCCACCAATATCACCATGAAAAATTGGAAAAAGAAAGTTATTACAGTTACTTGCTTCTGCCTTGGCATACAGACTGATGTTTGTAAAATTTTGCATTGGGAGGTCAACTAGTATTACTAAAATGCATTTACATTTTTGGATTACCACCTGTTTCAGAACCATATACATAATTTTACCCCTGAGTAAGTTAGCTGTTAGTCTATCATAGCAAAAAAATAAAATAATCAATCAGGAGGATTCTGGTGGAACATTTTTCTTATTAAATGTTCATTAAAAAGCACACACATGCCTCTTCAATATGTCAATATTTTCACAGCTGATCTAGAATAATATTTTCTAACTCTTACCCCCTTGTTTATTTGAGATTCATTGCAGTTTTCACCATCTGGATTCATAAAGAAGAATTTCTTAACAAATTCCATCAATACCTTAACAACTTTGATCCTATCATCAACTTTAGTGTCAATGAATCTACAAAACAAGCCCACTTCCTTGATGTCACAGTAAAATCATACAATGGACACATAGACAATATATAGCATAACTACATATTCTAGCTTCCACCCAGAGCACATAATCAAGCCACCCTCTCATCTATATCCAGGCATTACACTACAACAACATTCGTTATGGCCTACTTGATGGACATGCTCAAGTGGTGGAATTAAACCAGACATTCAGGAGGCTGAATGTATCCACCCAACAAGACAAATCAATAGAACCGGAATTGTTCCCAGGGAGTATCTATTAAAGGACAGGCCACAAAAACAGAATACCATTGGCTGTCACTTACAACTCACCACTCAATCACACAAAAGATTATTAATAAGCTACAGCCAATAATGGACAGTGACACTTCATTTTCTCAAGTACAGTATAGTAGCGCTATATTTTAAAAAAGCAGCCATCCAACGTGAAGCAGGTTCTCACAAGCAACAAGAAACAACAGGACAAGGATGCTAAAACAGGAACCTGACCCTGCCACAAATCCAGATGGTTTTTTTGCTCCCACAACTTATACCAACGGCACCATCACCAGCTCCAGTAAGTACCCTCTAAAGTGACATACTCCATCATCTGCCAGCAATGCCTTTCTGGATTCTAGATAGGATAAACAGGAAAAACTTCGCAGAAAAGTTCAAAAAAGCTAAACAAAAAAATATCACATTTTACTGAGAGATATGCTGACAGATGCAGGAAAAATTGGCAAAGTTTTCCCATAACATTTTTATCTCTGTCTACTTGTGCTTAGTTGTGGCTTCTTTTTGTGTTTTTCAATGTCACTATTCAATGCAAAACTTTTCTTACCTTCCTATTTCATTATTCTAACAATAAAAAGAGCCAGTTTGGTGTACAGTAGTGGTTAAGGCACCAGGTTAGAAACTGGGAGCCTGTGAGTTCTAGTCCCACCCTAGGCATGAAATCATTTGGATGTCCTGCAGCCAGTCATTCTCTCTCAACTCTAAGAAGAAGGGAAGGGTAAAATTTCAGGCTATCTTAAAAAGTCTCAACAAGCACAATGACTTTTTAACACATTACAACTATTAATTGATAAGGTACTTGTAATGTGTCTCACATGTAGCCTGCATCTTATAACCACCCCATCCTCCCCTCCCCCTTTCACCCCAATTTAAATCTTGCCTCCGTCTAGCCACTCTCTGCAGACGAGGAAGTGAGATGCAGCTCATAACAGCTATGCCTTTTAATAAAATGCTGGAAAATGTGCTACCAGACTCCTGATTTTTTGTCACTCTGGGTGTGCTCACTTGTTTTCCTTTGCTAGAGATGGAAAGAACCAGAAAGGGCTGTCCCCTGCTTTTCTATGGGAAGGTAAACTGGAAGACAAATCCATCATCCTTGACCACTGAACATGCTGAAATCCAGAGAGAACCAATTTAATGTTCTTGGTTTAACACCAGTATTGTTCCAGAATCTTCATGATCTTAGGTCCATCTGCAAACTAATCTTTCTCACAGGCATGCCATGGCAAGTACAAAATCAAGAACTCATGTTGTTGTGTTCTTTTGTATTCCCCCCCTTAATCCCCTATGCGCATCCTGATCACCCATTAAGGGTGATTGCCCTTCTCCATCTGCATACAGTTTCATGCCCGTTGCTGGTTGGCTAACTAGCAACGGGGTCTTACCAGCCAATGGAATTGTGTGATTACAA